ACAAGTTTAGTGACGAATTTTTTTCGTCATTTGTACTTGTTATTATGACAAAGTGATTATTCGTCACTAATAAATATTTTTTGTGACAATTTATTGCAACTTATATATGAAAGTTTTCATTGATTTTGTTGTTTGGTGACTAAAAATTTCGTCACGGATACATATTTTTGTCACGAAATATATTTTGTCACCCATGTATGACGTTTGGAGACGAAAAATTTCGTCAACTTTACATTTTACTGTGACGAAATTATTTTCTCATCAATGATCAACATGTGAAATTTATTTGTCAACTAAAGTTATAATATGGTACTGAATAATTATTTGGTGACAAAAATGAGGATTTTTGGCGACAAAATGTTATTTTATTGGTGACAAAAAGTTTCGTTACTGAAGTAATTTCATTGGTGACGAAATTATTTTTCGTCACGATGCTTTTTAGTGACAAACATTCAATGACGAAACCAGTGAGGAAAATATTTCCTTACAAATATCTATAGTGACGAAATTAGCTCTTTGGCAACAAACAAAATTCGTCATTCAAGACCCAATTTATTGTAGGCTTATATATGGTCTACATTCCTTAATTTGGCATCTTACTATAGAATCAAGAGATTCTCTTGAATAATTCCAATTATCCTTCATCTTTTTTGTCTTTTTTTTGTCCTACTTCCATCTTCTTGACCACTAAAAGAAGTTTTCTCTGCATTTGTTTAAGCCACTGGGTGCTAGTTTTCTTGGTCCCATCTATCTTACAAACCAGGGAGCTATTCTTTTTGCTTGTTCTAGTCTATATTTGCTGTGCTTATGTGCTGATCATCTAGTTTATGCAGGATATCTTACTTGTGCTCGCTGTTCAAGCTCAGGAGTGCTTGTCCTAGTTGAACCAGTTTCAACTGTTAACGGTGGAGATCAGCACCTAGCAACTCCTAAAACTGAACGATGTTCAAACTGTTCAGGTTCTGGAAAGGGTAGACATTTGGGATTTTGGTTTCCGTATTTGTTTAATGAATGTCACATGGAGCTATTTACTATTTGAGGGCGGTAGAATAGTGGATTTTGATGGTGCAATATATGGCTTATATGCATGGTTAAAACGGTTGCCCGATGAACTAATATGAGATTCTTGGGGAAGAGATTACGAAAACAAGAATGCTATTTCATCAGAAAAAATAAATATCTAATTTAGAATGCTTAATGCTTTGAAGCCCTTGCGTTTATATTGTGCTAAATTACTGACTTCAACCTGCTTGAAATTAATCCTCTTATTTGTTTCCTATGCTGACATGTCCAACTATACCTTTGTTACCCCCATTGGTGAAATTTCTTCCTGTGCAGTAAGACTCTAGACCTGCTTTGACACTAGCTGAGCTAGAGCTGTTTATTTATTATTTTATTTTTAAATTTATTATTTATTTAAGTTGGCTGCTAAATGAGGAAGTTATTTGATAAACTGGTGAGCTCCAACCCGTGACTTTTGAAATTTTTATTTTTATGAGTAAGCTAAAAGTTTCTCTAACACCTTTTCATTTGGCAAGTCTTACCATTGGGCCATGCCACCCTTTTTCCATTTCATACCCCTAATTACTAAAATATTCTGCTGCCGAGCTTTTTTGTGGTTCTGCTGCCTAACTTTTTTGTGGTTCCTCGAGGTTAACTATTATGACCATTATACATTATGTTTTTTTTCATAAGCCTGCTACTCCTTTATTTATCTTTTTCAAGTTTTTGTAAATGGAAGAAAGCTCATGGTTGTCAAACTGTATTTTGACAGTGAATCATGCGCTTGGGTTTTAATTGGGACTGACATAAATATTCTGCTACTTGCTAAGTTCGCAAAGCCTTTAATGGGACCTGCCCAGATAGTCATAAACAGCATCCTCATTAACGGTGAAGTATGTAGTTTTCTTTTCTCTTTTTTACTTACCTTTTATATCTAAAATTCTGAATTATCGTTCTTCTCTTTTTGGTAAATGAAGAATTAAAGTCACATCTATGAAATTGAAGAACTGGTAATTGTTCTTTGCCACCACTAGTGTAAATCAGGTAATGTTACAGGCTCAACTCCTCATTCACATATAAGATGGTGGGATATGTGGTGGGTAATTCCTGGGTCGATTGAGGCTTTGTTTCAGTGGTGGGCAGGGGCTTTGGTTAAGAAAAAAGAGGTGAAGGTGTGGAAAATTGTGCCGCTAGTTTTATTTTGCCAATTTGGTAGTTAAGGAATGATATATTGTTTAACAGTGGCCATCCTAATTTTGATGATTTGGAGGACATTGTGAAGACCAGGATTGCATTTTGGGCTAAGAACAATTTACCAGGTGTGCAGTACGGAGTGCATGATTTTGTTCATAGGTCAGACATTGCTTGAGATGAAGGGTGTTTACTGGGGCACTGTGGTGGCAGTGTTCTGGGACGCCTTGTGCTGGTTTTGCTGTCAAGTCCTGCTGTTGCTGTGTGTAGTCCAGTTGCTGGGTGCGTAGTCCCACTGCTGTGGTCTTGTTATGGGAAGCCCTCTGCTGGTGTTTTTGCTGTTATGAACTGCTGCTGCTGGTCCTATAGTTGCTGGTTCTCTTGTTGCTGGTGTTTGCTGTCATGTGTAGTAACAGTTTGCAGTAGTAGTGTGCTGCTGTAGCTGTGTACTTGGTGCACTTATCAGTTTGTTAGCAGTCCTGTTATAGCTTCTGTGTTGTTTGCTTGCTGGGTTGTCATGCAGTTGCTAATGTTTGCGGGGTTGAAATGCTGTTGCTGATGTTTGCTGGGTTGACATGCTGTTATAGCTGTTGTTTTGCTACCTTGGGTGCTGTTGGTGCTGCTGTCTATTGGTGCTGCTTGTTGCTACCTTGGGTGTTAAATACTGGTGCCTCTTCCTGTGGCAAGGAGTTTGATGGTGTATTGTTTAGAAGTTGCTGGAAGATTTTACAAGGGAAGGAGTTGGCAGAGTTGGATGGTTGTCCTTGCGGTGTGGTTGGTCTGTTTTTTACTGTTTTTCTTTTTGTTTCTCTGTTTTGGATTGGTTTCTCGTCAATCTGTGGGTTTAGTGCTACCATATAATTGTGCTTCCTCCTTGATGCCAACCTAGTTGGGATTGTGGAGTTTAGCTATGATGTTTTTTGCACTTCCCTTCTTTATTGATGTTTATTGTTGCTTGTATTTGCTCACCTCATCAATAAAGTTTTCCTTTTCTTGCTGGTCAAAAAAAAAAACTCACATAGTGAAAAGGGGGAAATAAAATAAATTAAAAAAATAAAAGATATTTTTTTTCTGTTACTTTTTGGGAAGTGGAAATTGCATCAATAAAATATCTAAATTAATTAACTAAACTATGCTAGGTGATATTATGTTTCGTTCTGTTTATGTGTGTGTATTAGTGGTGGACATATGGAAATGTTATTTTAAAGGGATGAGAGTTTTGAAAAAAAATTCCTTTTACCTAGTTCCAAATAAAATATTAGAGTGAATTTATGACATGAATGTCTGCCCGATGTAGTGAAGAGCATGGATGTAAGACTCTCTCTGGCTATAATTTGATATAGTGTTTTCATCTAGGCTATGTTACATTTAGACACTTGGGCTATTAAAGCATGAGAACATGCGTTAAATTTGATGTTATTCATTTTATTCAAAAAATACCAGAGCTTTGCTTATTACTCTCAATCTACTCCTAGTACCCTGTTTTGTTGTAGTGTTGATACAGTTTATGTAGTTGGTGTGTTTTACCTCTTTTGTTGTTGATCTAATTGTTCTTGTTGTTGATCTGATTGTTAATGTGAATGCCCATTTTCTTATTAACAGTTGAATCATGAAATTGTCAACTAGCAAGATGAGTGGAGAGGTATTTTATTTCTCATTTAACATAAAATTGAATTTATAACCAATTGTTGTCCCTATTATTTCTTATTTTTCCTTGTGTATTGCACAGAATTCAAAAAAAGCTGAGAAAAGAATTAGGAAGGAGCGTGAAGCTATAATTGCTACGACAATGGATGATCTTCAAGATGTAATAGGAAGTATAGTTGCATGGCCTAGTCAATTCATTTTTTTGGACTAAATATTAGAATAATTGATTTACGATTTCTAGTTATGCTTTTTGGATGTTTAAAGTCGTATTTTAGAAATTAGTAAATCTTATGATTTGGATATTTTTCTTGGTTTGTGTGTTTGAGATTGTTATTAGCTTGATATGATAAAAGTTAAAGATTAGTATGAAGGTTGTTTGGTGTATGGATATTAGATTTTTTTGCTTACTTCATAGTTGTTGCTTTTTGCTTGGTTTGTTCACAGATTGCATTTTATAAGCTACTATTTGCATAATGTTAGGCAATGTTATATTTCTGTATATATATTATATATTAAAAATAGCATTCTAAGGCATATAAAATTATGTCATGAGCAGTGTAATGATTTATGACATGTAAGAAAATGCTGTAAAAGATTATATACGATATACAAAGTACGTCATAAATATATTAAAAATGACTTAAGGCCTACAAAATTATGTTGTGAATCGTGATGATTTATGGCATATAAGAAAATACCGTAAAATATTATACATGGCATACAAAGTATGCCATAAATATGTTAAAAATAATCTTCTATAGCATTTAACATTATGCCATGGAAAGTATGATGATTTATGACATGACAAAAATATTGTAAAAAATTATGTATGACATACAAAGTATGTTATTAATGTTTAATTTATTACGTTTTATAACTTTATCTGTATGCCGTAAACAAAACTCAACTTTCCACGGCATGTCATATAATGGCATTTGTATACATGCCGTGAAAGAGTTTTTACGGCATGCATTGCAAGTCGTGAAAAATCAATTTTATTGTAGTGGTTATCGACCAAAATTTTTTGTCGCAAAAATGCTTACGCTGATTAAAAATAATTTTTTTGCAATAAAAATTTTAGTCAGCAAAAAGTGTAACTTCCTGTTATATTCTAAAATTCAGTTTCTCAGACCTGTTTTTGGGTTTATAGACTATCTGGCAATCATAAATACCAGACCCATCTTGTTCCATTTTCTTCACATTCTCTTCTATTTTTCCCCACCATAGATAGGCATGGGTGCACTTACCCCTGTGTTTTTTTTCTTGCTTCTTGTGAATCCTCTAAATCTGTATTTTTTTTCTGACTTTTTTGTTTTTAATATATGTACATATTTACAATTTACCCAACCATTGTTAACGTTACTTTATGGGAGAGGTTTTTCCGCAATCCACATAGTGGATTGGAGTGTGTTGTAGGATTCGTGAGGTTCACCAGTTTCGTTTCGATAATCTGAATTGTTTATTACATAGAGTTTTTCGAGTACTTCATACTTACAAAAAATACATTAATCAGATATAGGTACCCTCTTGATCGGAATACATTTTTGTTAATAATTTTATTTTTAAAATCATATTACCATTGACAAAAATATATTCCGATCAAAGGACTACCGATATCCGATCGATATGATATTTTGCACACATGAAGTACTCGACGAGTTCTACATATTGAACGGTTCGGATCGAAACGGGATCCATAGTGAGTCCCACGGGTCCAACAGCATGCTCCAGTCCACTGTGGACCGGAGAGAAGCCTCTCCCTAGTTTAGTTCCTCTTGGTTTCTCAGAAAGATTGCTGGAGTTTGCAAACACAGATTGAGGCATTTAACAGGACTGTCCAGGAAGATCTGCCATGTATGATTGAAGATCCACAAGAGCTCGCTGAGTATCTTGCAAATTCCATATTTTTCATCTCCATGGGGGGCAATGACTACCTCTTAAACTTTAACAACCACAGCGACCCTGAATATTTTGCAAATTCTCTCTTAATCCAGTTTCAATGCTATTTGCAGGTAAACTTTTAACTAATTGCATTCAAATCAGATTGTTGATTTTTAACACGATATTATTGCTATTAATCGATGATCAACTGTAATTTAAGTGTGAAAGATGATAGCTTCCATGGCTATGGATTGGGGTAGAGTCTAACCTAACCATCCTTTAATGTTTTCATTATTGCAAGACACTATATAACATTGGAGCCAGAAATCTAGTGGTGAACAACATAGGTCCTCTGGGATGCTTGCCGTCGATGATAAACAAGACAGGAAATGGGCAGTGCGATGAACAGATGAATCAAAATATCATGCCATACAACTCTCAACTTCCTCAGATACTAAAAAATATCCAGGATGAATATCCTAATGCTACCCTCACTCTGGCCAACAGCCATGATCTTCTTATAAATACCAGACCCATCTTGTTCCATTTTCTTCACATTCTCTTCTATTTTTCCCCACCATAGATTGGCATGGGTGCACTTACCCCTGTGTTTTTTTTCTTGCTTCTTTGTTCGAGACATGCTTATTAAAGATTGAGGGTTCAACAAGTTTGCTAGTTTATTTTTAATTATGAGTGGTATGGTAGTGGTATGGTAGTAAGAGTATGGGATGAAAACAAGCTCTTGTCTCTGCTGAAGTTATTATGGACACTCAAATGATTTGATTTTTTTTTAGGTGAATGTGATTTGATTATTTAATCTACACTTAATCTAAACTTCATTCTTCTACACTTAATCTACACTTCATTTTTCTTAGCATCCTGCTATTATTTTATTTATTTGTTTTTTATTTTGATTCTATAAGTTTGCGTGACATGGGAGAATAATGTTACGTGGTATTTTACAAGCATCTAAGAAAATTTTCAAAGTTTAAATGTCAACGGTGAGTTTTAGAATAATAGAATCAAGGAATGGACACTATATTCATGGGTAGAAACAAAAGACTAGTATTAGAGACTCACAATTTGAATCCTTAATTCAATCTACAATGATATGACAAGAGAGATAGACTCTACACAACTGAGAAATGACAAACTAAAAGTTTATATGTATAATGCCACATCATTGTAGGTCACATTGTGAGAGATTTTTTATGGGTTTTAAACATTTTCCTAAATGAGAAATTATGTCTAGGGAGACCAATGTGATTGTGTGAAAAAAGAAAAAGGAAAAAATAATTGGTACATTACCGATAGATAGTAATTTCTCACATGAGGTTTGTGAAAAAATTGCTTTATGAGAAAAAAAACAAACAAATAAATCTAATAATTTCTTTTTTCTTTTTAATTCTTTTCTAAATTTGTGAAATATTAGTACAGCTATTTTGTTGGTTGACAATATCTAGGAAATAAAATGTAAGCGTACTTTTTATTTTTGAAATAAAAATAGAAAGAAATGACCTATTCTATAAATAAAATTAAGTAAATCTTATTGATGCTAAGTAGCATACCAATTAGTTAGAAATCATCTCATTATACATTGTGAAACATTAATGAAATATAAAATTAATAGAAAGATTTTGAAAAAATTAAGAGACAATCCAATGATACATTTTACAAATACTTATGAATATAGAGCTAGTAGTGTAATTTTCCAAAGGCTGGGGTTGGCGATGGCACCCCAGTCCCACTGTGGGTCCGCAATTAACTATATTTTTCTTCTTTTTTTTTGTTTTTTGTTTTTGGCAACAATTTTATATTTATGTAGATGATGTTTCTGGGCGACAAGTAGTCTTTAAAAGAGAGAAAAAAAGAAGGTGAAACAAAAAGAGAAAACTACATTCATTTCAATTTAGCTATCATGGATCAGTTTTAGTGTTAAGAGTTTATCCAATGGTTAGCTAAATTCAATAGCTAAAGTTATATTTTAGCAATGAACCATGTAAAAAATTTATAATTCAACATTTTTTTTTTTTTTGAGGAATAATTTAACAATGTTTTTCCAATGATCAGGTTGCTATTCTTTGGCTCAACTAGCTTTGCTCAGATTAATTATTATTCTTTCAACCACTATTTTTCAACCATTACGCTTCCAACGCTGCCAAAAAAAAAAAAAAAAACAAAGAAAAGAAAATTTGTTTCTTATATTTTCTATTAATTTTTTTTTCGTGGTCCATTCGAAGTCATAAAATTTATATTTTTTTGTGCTTCTTCTGTAACAATTGTAAGGAAATGTTAGAATATGAAGTCTCAAAGGAATTGATAAGAAATCAATGCATGGCAGAGGAACAAAAGGAACAATTATGTTTTAAACATCTTCAACAATCCCACATGATTAAAAATTAAAAAATTTCAAAAAAATAAAATAAAATTTTTGGACTTAACCACGTGTCTTGATGTTGATTGATGTCTTCTGGACTTGAATGTGAGTCGTTGGTGTAAGTCTTGAGTTCACCTCTAAATAATTCAATAATGCTATTATGCTACACATAATTTAAAGAGAAAAAATATATATATATTTTCTTATACATGGGAGAGAAAAATAGGATTTCATTATCCTACCTTAACAATTATTTCAAAAAACATTAAGTATTTTGATTTTACAGTTTTCAAAAATAATTTAAGAGTTTTTAATTCATGTTTTTTGATTTTTGGTGAATTGTTTTTAAATAAATTAATTAATTTTTTTTATCCACTTAATCTCAATATATACTGAAAAAGTAGAAAATTTTTCAAATTTTTTAAAAAATTTCACTAAATACATTTTTTTTTCTAATGCATTTTCGTATTTTTTTTTATATTTATTGAATTCTTTTTAATTTTTTTTTATAAAGATTTTATTTTTAAGTATATTTAAATTATACATTTAAAAATAAAAATAAAACTAAAAAATTCAAAAATTTTAGTTGGCAAAAAGTGTAATTTCTTATAATATTCTAAAATTCAATTTCTCATATCTGTTTTTGGGTTTACAGACTATCTGGCTGTCTATAAATACCAGACCCATCTTGTTCCATATTCTTCACATTCTCTTCTATTTTTCCCCACCATAGATTGGCATGGCTGCACTTACCCCTGTGTTTCTCTTTTTTCTCTTTCTCTCTGCCCATTCTGATGAAAGTTCTAAGTTGGATTCATCGTGCTTTTCAGCCATTCCGATTTCCAACTCGGTTGCTGCTCTCTACGTGTTTGGGGACTCGACCGTTGATGCCGGCAACAACAATTACATCGACAATGCCGCAAGGGCTAATTTTTTGCCTTATGGCATTGATTTCAACAACACCCCCACTGGCCGTTTTACCAACGGAAAAACTATTGCCGATTTCATTGGTATTATATTACTAACTACCGTAAACTGTACTCTCCCTTTGGTTTGGTTTGGTTTTGTTATGTTTTATTCTCATTATAAGTAGTAAATGTTTTAAATTCAATTTTCTGTGTTGTGATGTGATTCGTGAAGCGATATTATATAATCTTTCACTACCCCCTCCGTATTTGAGCTTGATGGAAGCACAAAGGAAGACCACCATGGGCGGCATCAATTATGCTTCTGCTGGATGTGGTATCTCCCCCAACACCAAACCAACCGAGGTGAAATATTTTCAACTTTTCTTGCTTCTTGTGAATCCTCTAAATCTGTATTTTTTTCGGACTTTTTGTTTTTAATATATGTATATATTTACAATTTACCCAACCATTGTTAACGTTACTTTATGGGAGAGGTTCTTCTGCAATCCACATAGTGGATTGGAGTGTGTTGTAGGATTCGTGAGGTTCACCACCGGTTTCGTTTCGATAATCTGAATTGTTCATTACATAGAGTTTTTCGCTTTATACCTGCAAAAAATACATTAATCAGATATAGATAGCCTCTTGATCGGAATATACTTTTGTTAATAATTTATTTTTAAAACCATATTACCATTGACAAAAATGTATTCTGATCAAAGGACTACCGCTATCCGATCAACGTGATTTTTCACACACATGAAGTACTCGATGAGTTTTACATATTGAACGGTTCGTATAATCGAAACGGGATCTATAGTGAGTCCCACGAGTCCAACAGCATGCTCTAGTCCACTGTGGACTGGAGAGAAGCCTCTCCCTAGTTTAATTCCTCTTGGCTTCTCAGCGTGATTGCTGGAGTTTGCAAACACAGATTGAGGCATTTAACAGGACTGTCCAGGAAGATCTGCCATGTATGATTGAAGATCCACAAGAGCTCGCTGAGTATCTTGCAAATTCCATATTTTTCATCTCCGTGGGGGGCAATGACTACATCTTAAACTTTAACAACCACCACGACCCTGAATATTTTGCAAATTCTCTCTTAGTTCAGTTTCGATGGTGTTTGCAGGTAAACTTCTAACTAATTGCATTCAAATCAGATTGTTGATTTTTAACACTATATTATTGCTATTAATCGATGATCAACTGTAATTTAAGTGTGAAAGATGATAGCTTCCATGGCTATGGATTGGGTTAGAGTCTAACCTAACCATCCTTTAATGTTTTCATTATTGCAAGACACTATATAACATTGGAGCCAGAAATCTAGTGGTGAACAACATAGGTCCTCTGGGATGCTTGCCGTCGATGATAAACAAGACAGGAAACGGGCAGTGCGATGAACGGCTGAATCATAATATCATGCCATACAACTCGCAACTTCCCCGGACTCTACAAAATATCCAGGACGATTATCCTGATGCTACCCTCACTCTGGCCAACAGCCATGATCTTCTTCAAGATATATTGGCAGACACTGAAAAATATGGTAACTGTTTTTCTTTTCATTATTTTTTCAATTGACAAATAATTGATCTCTTGCATGTGTGTTGTGTTGTGTAGGGTTTACAGATGTAAAAGATCCGTGTTGCAGAGGCTATGTAAATGGGAAACTAGCTTGCATCCCAAACTCTACACCATGTGACAACAGATGTCACTTAAGAAGATACACATTTCACCACACCAGTGAATTTGCAAATTGTATCTTTGTTCGACACATGCTTATTAAGGATTGAGGGTTCAACAAGTTTGCTAGTTTAATTTTAATTATGAGTGGTGTGGTAGTAAGAGTATGGCATGAAAACAAGCTCTTGTCTCTGCTGAAGTTATTATGGACACTCAAATGATTTGATTTTTTTTTTAGGTGAATGTGATTTGATTATTTAATCTACACTTAATCTAAACTTCATTCTTCGACACTTAATCTACACTTCATTTTTCTTAGCATCCTGCTATTATTTTATTTATTTGTTTTTTATTTAGATTCTATAAGTTTGCGTGATGTGGGGGAATAATGTCACGTGATATCTTACAAGTATCTAAGAAAATTTTCAAAGTTTAAATGTCAGCGGTGAGTTTTAGAAGCATAGAATCAAGGAATGGACACTATATCCATGGGCGGAAACAGAATACTAGTATTAGAGACTTACAATTTGAATTATTAATTCAATCCACAATGATGTAACAAGAGATATAGACTCTACACAATTGTGGAATGACAAACTAAAAGTTTATATGTATCATGTCACATCATTGTAGGTCACATTGTGAGAAATTTTTTATAGGTTTTAAACATTTTCCTAGAAGAGAAATTATGTCTAGGGAGACCAATGTGATTGTGTGAAAAAAGAAAAAGGAAAAAAGAAATGGTACATTACTGATAGAGAGTAATTTCTCACATGAGGTTTGTGAAAAAATAACTTT